AATTTGTATCCAGCATTTCTGATTTCACCAGCACTCTGTAGCTTTTCAGAGCAATTATTTTGAATGAACGAGAATGGTTTCCATGGGATGGAAACATTTGAACGGAACTTTACCTATAATAAGGACACGGAAGGAGTTAGTAGAATACACAACTCAGTGAGACAGCTGTGACTGGTGGGGGGATCTGAACTAAAAACAAGATAAATCGGAACTTTCCAGCCTTTTGAACAGTATGAATCACACCTCAACAGAGAAAATGTAACTCATAGTCACATACCAGTTTGTCAGCAACTCTGGAATTTACTAAAGGGAAAACTGACCTCAGGACAGTACTGGTGCATGTCGCACTATTGGATGTGGACACACACATTGGTATTGTAGAAAAAAATGTGGCATCACTCATCATTGCTGTTGTTTTCAACCCAGCAGGGAATTCTTTGGGATTTATAAAAAAAAAGATGTGGTAAATTTGTCGACTTATCCACTAGACTTCATTCATAGGAGCAGGAACTTTCCTTCTGCAGAGACTTGTCAATCAAAAAAAAAAGTAAACAGGAGTCTCGCATACTCGGTATTTGCCTTTCTTACCGAGAAATAAAATTTTTAATGTGGATTGTTCTTTCACCTGTTACCAAATGGGTACATAAATCTGGAAATGCACGTGTGTACCATTCCAGCTAAATGTGAAGCACACGGTTATTTGATCTTCACCTGGACACTGAAATTTACGTGCGTTCCATGGATGAACAACACCAATTGGAGTTGACAGCTATTCTGTCCCCCCATGGCCTTAGATATTTCATCAAGATTATAACTAAGGTAGTGTTCGTTTACAATATTGCTTTAGAAGATTACACGGTTTGAAGAAACAGCCCTGTTGACATAGCTGTTATTTCTGCTTTGGGTTGCTTCACTTCCTTCCTACTTGGTAACAGTCACGAGCACCACCTTACAGCCAGACCTAGGTCAAGACTTCTCACCCGTATGAACAAAATGGAGTGAAAATAGCTGTGGGCCGCTCAGGATTTTGCAGAAGGGGCAGGCAGGGGAGAGGATGAGAGCGACAGCTGATGATGGCAGGAGGCAGGCCATGCACTTTTCTCCTATGGGAATGATTGCCATCTCGCACAGCTCAGCTGCTGCTTCGGCGGCAGTGGCAATTTGTCTTTCCCAGGCTGTAGCACAGGTTGGCAAGCAGCAAGGCCATGGCCGTTTTGCAGCTGCCCCACTTTGCTTATGCATAGAATAAACTCTGCCGGCAGCATTAAATCAGGATGAGCTGCCACGGTGTCACGAGCGAAGACAGAAGCAACAGTGCAGTTACTCGTACCAGAGCACACGCTGCCCTCTGCTCCCGCTGCTGTACGGGCTTCCAGGGAAGCGCAGCCGACTTGGAACGCAAGTTTGCAAACACTTCCCTGGTCCCCTCCCGCAGGAAAGGGTCCATGGCTTAGAATGGGCGTTTCGTGTCGGAACTGATGGAGGATGAACTGCAGCATCACCGAGCTGGGTACTCTGCGAACACCAGCAACGCCTTGACGGGCTCTTTTATTTGGACTCGTTTCATAAACTTACGGGCCTGAAGCCACGCCGCCTTCCCCCACCGCAGGCACCCCGCAGCCTCCCCGCTGCTACGGCTACACAGGCTCGGGCCCCGCTACCGCACAGGGGCGCCTGG